GTTCCTGGGTTCATGAACTTGATTGTCATCTGAGTGGTATGTGTGGGGTGGGGAGGGGGCTGCTTGGTTTGGTCGAGTTTGGGATGCTTTGGGGGTGTTCTTGTTGTTGAAAAGGTTTGGAGGTTGGAAGTGGGGGGGGGGGCACGCCCTGTGGTCATGGACGTGATTGTCACTTCTTGATGGATGAACATGTTAGTGGCACACAAGACGTTTGGTTCCTTTTTGCACTCAAGTGGGTATAAAGAGGTTGCAGCCAAGAACCTCAAAAAACCAATACCCTAAATGAAGGTTGCAAAACAGACCCCTAAGTGCCCACCATAGAGACACAAGGCCCTACTCGGGTTTCGTACGGGATGGGCTTTCTCGCTGCCTGAGTTGCAGGTTATAAGCTCGAACCCGCGAAGACGCAGTGGGGCTCTTTTTCTCTTGATCAACAAAAGGCTGCATGTGCACAAAGTGAAAAGAGCGACGTGCTCCCCTCACAGGCTCGCCTGGGATTTTGTCGCTCCCAGGGGCCATCTCCAAAATGGAAAATCCTCGGCCACAGCCCAAGCCTTTGTTCACTCATCTCATCGACGGATCCGATGTGATGCCGCTCATGCAAAAGCGGCAAGGGCGTAGTGGTCGAATGCTCGTCCAGGGGGATGCAGTTGATCGCCGAGTGGAGATAGCCATCAGACCCCCTCCACGCGGTCCCATTCCTTCCCCTTTTGGTGATGCGCTCTTCGGGCAAGGGAGCATGGCCCGGATGCCTCGCGCAACCGCACCTCGCAATTTCCAGCAATCCCGGGTCCAGTGATAGCGCTCCCCGAAGGACGTGACGTGGTAGAGCTCCACCAGGCTCCGGTTCACCACCTCGTTCAGCTTCTTCACGTAGCTGCCTCAGCTCCCGCTGCAGTGGGTGTTGACCTCGCCTGCGAAGGCCACCAGCAGACGATGACGCCGATTCCGTGGCCGTGCTAGGCGAGCGACGTTCAAACGTCATCACCTCCTCCTCAGCTTCAGAGCTTTCTCGCACGCTCAACTCGCGCTGTTGCTGTTCCAGCCGGCGCTCCAAACGCTCCTCCTCTTCTCTCTCCTCCTGCAACCTCCTGACTCGCTCAAGCCGGAAGGTCCGGTTGACCTCTTCCCGAAGCCTCCGTCTCATGTCCTCCTCCGTCTCCACGGCCTCCGTCTGCACTTCTCGCACTTCCGGGCCTGCAGGTTCCGGCAGCCGATTCCTCTGCTCCAAGATCGCCCGCACGGTCGATTCCACGACCCTGTAGCACATGATGGCAATGAAGGACACCACCACCACGAAGATCACGAGCTCATAGCCGCCTTCACCTTCTCGACGTCCATCCTGGGCTTCTGTCTGCACCACCTGCGTGCAGAGGATCAAGCTCCCAAGGCCCATTCCTCCACTCGTACTAGGCGTAGTTGGCCAGGACCTCGTAGAGTTCCGCCTCAATCTCACCGACGAGGTCTGCATGGGCGATACACCCTCCTGATTCCATTCCTCCAGTCCACCTTCATCACTTTCCGGGAAGGTCCATGAAGCCACCATAGAGCTCCTGCACGGTGAAGATGCCATAGAGCTCGATTCCGAAGTAGCCCCTAGATCCCTGATCTCATCACACGAGGCCAGGAGACTCTGGTCCTCCTCCCAGACCGTAGGACTCTGCTCCTCGTCCTCGACGTCCAAGCGCTCTCCCAAGGACAAATGCCCTGAGCGCCAAACTTCTCCATCCGTGATCGGGTCAAGCATCTCCTGACCACTCCACTCCTCATCCCACGGCAAACGCCTTTCCTTCGGCGCCAAAGCCCTGACCTTGACGGCCGTAACCTCTTCCAGAGCACTTCCACGATGCCCTTCTTGATGAGGCTCATCACCAGCCAGCAGCAATCTGGCCTTGTCCAGGCCGATCTCATTGACCTTCTGGGCCAGCGCCGCCACTCCTCCAATCAACACCAGTTGGCCCACAGCCTTCATCTGCCTGACTTGTGGAGAAAGACCACCTCAGCAGGCCACCGGCAACAACCGCCAAGAGGCACTTGATCATGGCCTCCTTCTGCTCCTCCACGTCATCATGCTCCAAGACCTTGGGGACAGACTTCAAGCCCACTCCCTCGCAGAACCGTTCCAAAGCCGCCACCGCATCTGCCCACAATCTCGTACCCACCCGGTGCGTGAGGGTGAACTCGCCCTCCCTAATGGCCTCCGCCAAGCAGTTGGCTCTGATGCGCAAATGACGGGTGCGCCAACCCCGGCCAAGATCAGCGCCGCGCGGTTGTCATTGTAGATCTCCATGCTGATCGGGACCTCGAAGAGCTCCAGCAGCGCCCTCACTGAGCGACCCGCTTGCGCCCCTTCCATAATCGCCGTCAGCTCCGCCTCCGCCGTAGATAGAGCAACCAGAGACTGCTTCTTCGACTCCCACTGCACTGGGCAGCCCGCGAAGAGCAGTATGATGCCCGTGACGCTGTGCTGCTCCTCCACCCCAAACGAAGCATCCACCAGCACCTCCAAAGTGCCAGCCTCCCGGGGTGTCCGCCGGAACATAGTCTGCATCTACCGGCACCTCCTTGGTGTAGACCAGCTTCTTCTCCCACGACGTGTTCAGGTAGGCGAGAACATTGGCTCCGAGCTCCAGTACCCACTCCGGGTTCCTCGTCGCCCTTGACGACATCCTCTGAACCGCCGCTGCAAGATCCGGTCTGGTCTTCCCGGAGAGCCACAACAGCTCTCTCCAGTGAGCCGTTGGGCCTCCCGCACCGTCCGCAAAGCTGGGGCAGGGTCCTCCTTTTCCTCCGGGACCTTGATGTGCGTAGCTCGCGCCACCACCCCATTCCTTTGCAACAACTCCTGCGCGTAGCAGTGCTGGTGGACCTCAATGTCCCCCTTCTCTGACTTCTGGATCTCCATGCCCAGGAACTTCATAGCGGGGCCTCCAGCCTCCACATACTCCGGCGGGCTAGCCGGCCAGGTCGCATCCAAGACCTGAGCAAGCTTCACCGCGGTGCTCCTCTCCGCCACCACCAGCAGATCATCCACATAGACCGCAAGGTAGCCCAAAGGGGGTCCCGCAAAGAGTACACCGCCCTTCCCGTCTGCTTTCCACTCCTTCACGACCCAGAGGTTCGGGTCTGCCAAAGGAACCAGGCCAAGCTTCCTCTCCTCCCCCGAGATCACCTGCGTCCAGCGATGCCTCAGCTGGTTGTCCCTGTGGGATGCCCAATCCCTTGGCGCCGTTGTGAGGCCGTACATCGCCCCCGTGACCACCCAAACCTCGTCGTGGTCCATCAGGCCCGCATCGTAAAGGATGCGAGGTGGCTGAACGATGATCAGCTCGTTCTGCGAAGTCGGTGCCAACAGGAAGGCCGAGCGAATGTTGAGGGAAAGGACGTCCCAGGACTCCAAGGCTGCTTTCCTCAGGATGGCCCTCACTTGCGTAGAGTCCGCCCCCGAGGCGTAGAGCTCATCGGCGCTCCGGTCAGCCATGTAGTTGCCGCAGCACACGATGCGCGACTTCCGCTTCCCTGCTCCCGCCTTCCGGCTAAAGACTCCCATGGCAGGGATCATCTCCACCACCTTTCCAGCTGCTTTTGCCTCAACCATCATGGCGTCGGCCTCGGCCTTGGTGACCCTCTGAATGGCCTGGTTGGAGGTGAAGTTCTCCAGCTCCCCCTTCATCGACGGAAGCCAGTCACCAAAGGTCTGCAACAACACCTCCTCAGCGGCCTGCATGACCTGCTCCTCCTGCTCCTTGACTGCCCTCAAGTGGGCGTCCTCCAGCCGCGTTCTCAGCGTCCAGCTCGCGGATCAGTCCCACTACCGACTCCCCCATCTCCGTGTCCTGCTCGAGGATCTTAAACTCCTCGCCAGGGCATCTCCTTGATGAAGCCGCCGTTGTAGTGCTTGCACGCCCAGTGACTTGACCGCACTCTTGCTTCGTATCCTCCTCGGTGGAAATCCTAGGCCTCGAAGTGGGCCAGCTCCTGGATCTCGCTCCACCAGTTCCAGCAACTCCGGAACCGCTTCCTCCTCCTCATGCTCCTTGCATGGCACCAGATCATCGGTGTGGAGGTACTTCTTGTCCTCGGTCTCCGCGATGTGGCCACCAGAGGTCAGGCTCATCGACACATCCGGACCTCTCAGCCAAGCGCGTTTCTTCCGGGCTCTCCAATGCCCTTGAAAGTCATCCCATGACTTAGTCTTGACCATCACCTCCATGTTGTAGGGGAGTAGCTCCGGCGTGATGTAGCCAAGTGATCGCAGCTGCTGACGGCCCCGACCTGGCGCGCCAGCATAGGCCAATGGTCCTCATCGAGCTTCAGGGCCTTCAGCAGGACCGTGACACCCCTGCGAACCATTCCCACTTCACTTTCCGCACGTTGGCCTTGCTGGCCAATTCCCCGGCTCGGTCCGAGTGGATCCGCCGCACCTCCAAGTTCAAGTAGTTGAGGCGCGCCACCATGCGAGCCATGGCCAGTGTGATGGCCTCTCCATTCCTCGACAAAAGAACCTCCACGAGGGTGTAGTTCCGCACTTCCACCTCTTCCGGCTCTACCATCTCCTCCCATTTCTCCATGTCCCCTGGATCACCCTCAACGTGTCCAGGAATAACATCTCCCCCCTCCTCCACCTCCGGTAGAAGAGGACCTTCAAGATCGCCTTCCTCCACGGCAACCTTCTCTTAGCGAGGATCTCCCCCAACCCAGGCACCAAAGGAACCAGCTCTCTGCTTTTCCTGGCGACGGGGACCGTGAAGACTCCCACCATCATGTAGCGGCTCTTTGCCTCCTCCATATCCTTCCCCGGGCGGAATGGCCCGCACAAATCCAGGGAAAGCGTAAACGTGTCCGGCGCAGGAATGCGCCTGTGGGGCCGAGAACGACCAGCACCCTTCTGGCACTCCGGGCACTCTCCGTTGAACGTCATGTGGTCCAGCGCCCGATGCCGGGCCCAATCATCGCTCGACATCTTCGACACCACCGGGTGTTCCAACTCCAGACGAAGA